GCATTGGCACGCTGCGATTACGGGACTGATTACATTTCCTCGCCAAAAAAATGCTCCTTTTACTCTTCCTCCTCCTCCTTTCTAGGGCTATTCTATTTTTTTATTTTCCTTAATAATTTTATGCTTATTTAGAGTGCAATAATTTATAATGAGGGTATTGTACAATACTTGATTTCATGTGATAATTTGTCTATGGTCAATTCACCCCTTTGGGCCCAATATGGTCTATGGAGTAGGTATCCGGTTGGCAAACTGTTTAGATTGTTGGTTCAAGATTATATGCTTTCGTCGGATTGACGCCCTTACGCCGAGCTTGCCTACTTCCTCCTTTTCCTACCCTCGCCCGCTCGCCAGCCTCCAGAAGGGCTCAATTCGTCTACGAACGCAAGTCTCGTGATCTCATCTCCGGTGCCAGCACGTTTCGTGTGATGGCCGACTACTTAAATCGTGTGGTCGTAGACACTTTGCTTGCTTTTCAGTATCCGATGGTGCGAAAGCTGATTGAGAAGAGTTGGTACTTCAAGCCGCTTTCGCGTTGCCTCCTCCTCTTTTCCGACAAATCGCTTCACCTCATCCTCCATGATCCCGTCGCAGGCCTTCCGTCTCATCAGATCTTCGCCTACCACGATTTGGGCTGCTACTACCTGTTCGGAGCAGGACAACAGCGCTATCTGGTCCTCTGCATCGTTGACCAGGGTGAAGGTGCATTTGGCTTCCTCGAATTCTTCCGCCTCCAGAACCACACGACGGCGATTCAATTGAGGCAACTGTTTGCCCGTTTCGGCCTCATCAATGGTCAGCGCATGGCAGAGAGGGGAGACGATCCTGACTTTCTCGATGACCATTATCGTAAGTTGCGGTTGTGGTACAGGACCAACCGAACTCATATTTTCTTGTGCCCTAATGCTGGTCTGTCTCTTTAGACGTGATTGAGCACAAATGCGAACTGGACTTCAACCCGCGAAGTGGGTTGACCTCGTTGTCGCAACTTGGTCTTGTTGTCATGGTGACTTAGTAGAATGCACCTATTCCGAAGTCGTATGCATAGTATTTGTCATGACTCCCATCAACTATGGCAGACGACTTCGGACTAGGTGCGTTCTACTGAGTCACCCTGACGACAAGACAAATTTGCGACAACGAGGTCAACCAACTTCTATAAATCGAAAGGAGACTGCGGCCATACCAGAGGCTACACCATCTTGGTCTTCATATCTTCAATTCAAGCCGGGAGCCTACAACTGCTCAATAGGCTCTCTTGCAACATAGAAAGGTGGATTTTGTGTCATCCTTTCGTTAGATATTTTGGCCTGGATCCCTTAAGAGTAAAGCAGTCTTTGTCTAAAACTCTATAATGGTGGAGTTTTAAAAAAATTCGCCTTCCATTGTGTGGTGTTGCAGAGATTGGCCGCCGTACTACTCGACGATGAAGTGAAACGAAGGTATAACTTGGTCTTGGAGGCTAAAAGTCCTTGTAAAAGGCGTTAGTTGAGGTAAGCCCGTTCAGCAAGAGCCCAAAGGGGCTGGGGTCATGTAGTCTAGATAGTAAAGTGGGATCTAATTGAAGCCTATTACACATACATGATTAGCTCTAGATTTGCCATATCCAATTTCCTTGCTGTATGCTTTATTCATACCCTTCAAACGGAGGCTTAATTTCATCGTCCTTTTCTCCTCTTTTAGCCTTTTCCTGCCCATAATCCTCCCGATCGTAGTCATTATCATCTGCTTTAGGTTTCCCTAACGTTTACCTCTTCCCCCTTTGCCTCCTTTCTTCTTACCGTGCACATCTTCTTTTGCTCAATTTTTCCACTTCCTCTTCCCAATCCTCTTCGTTTATTATAATCCCACCCCCTTTTCATTTGCTTTTATACTCTATCTTCAAAATCATCCGATTTTATCCTCTTTTTTTATCCTCCTCGTGGTTTTCCTTAACGCAAACATTTAGCATCCTTTGCCTCCTTCTTTTCCTCTTCCTTCTCCTTCTTCTTAATCTTATTCATTCTCCTCCTATATTATCTTTTCTTTTTATTTTCTATATCATTCCATTTTATCCTCTTCCCTCATCAAAATCCTCCTTCTGTATTTATTTTTCTTCCTCGGATT